ACACACACACACACACACACACACACACACACACACACACACACACACACATACAAACAAGCATACATGTCACAAAACATATCCGACACATAGACAACCAAACATAAATATCACAATACGTAGGTCATATTTTAAGGTCATTAGCCAAACTTTCACAGCGCTTACCCCAAAGAGGAGAGATGGAAGAGGTGTGAGAAGTTTGATGTTGATGGTTGCTAGGAAACCAGGTAAATGCCCATGACGGGCGCCGACAAAAAACAATCTGGGGAAAAGGAAAGACAAAAGTGAAAACACCACCTGTGCATTGAACTTTTAAATTGTTCAAAATATCACTAATAATAACACGAGAAACAACATTTCAAATGAAAGAGCTGCTGAATTGAGTGTAACAAACATAAAAAAGAAGGAGAGATAAAGATGATAGGTGTTTGATAGGAAAGAAGGAGCAAACCACACATGAGCACCCACCAACCACCCACTCAAATTGCTTACAAGTAAATAAATCAAACTAATGCACGAGAAAAAAATAAAAGTTTAGGATTTCCTAAGCTTTGCCAATCTTTATGCAGTGACAATTCCTCTTGGGGACTCATTGGAAGAACCACAAAATGCGCCTATCACTAAGAACAGTGTAATATCAACGTGTAAAAGAAAAATTTTGACAGAAAGTTCAAACTTATGTATTATCTAGCTTTTATGAAGCAATCCTATTTTATGGTGCCAAGCATGGACAATCAATAGACAGTTGGAAAGAACAATCGAGGCGACAGAGTTGTTGTTCATAAGACGCATGCTGCGTATCCCACAGACAGCTAGAGAAACAAATGAAGAAGTCTTGGTTGAAGCAAATCGCAGACGACAGCTTTTGACAAATATACGAAAGCAACAGGCAAAGTTCAGTCGACACACAATGCGGAAAGAAGCATTGGAGAATACTGTTACAGGCAAGTTTGATGGAAAGAGAGGCAGAGGTAGACAGAGGGAAAAGATACTGGAAAAGTTGACAACATGGCTGGAAACAGCAAGAACGACAGACACCATTGCTGCAATGCAAGGCAGAGTGAAGTGGAGGTCCATGATCGTCCTTGCCAGTCGGCAAGGCACCGGATGATGATGAGTTCAGTTCATCTTGACGGGAGGAGAATGAAGTCAAGATATTCGTGCTTACCGTGAGGAGGTAAAAATGGCTCCGTTCAGTGCCCCAAACGTGGAGCAGGCCACAAAGACAGGCATGACCCACGACATTACTCCAAGAGTCCGGTCAGCAAATGTCTGAGAGGGAAAAAAACAAAGACATGGTAGTTGTTGTGGCTGTTTTTTGTTTTTTAACATTTTATTCTTTAGAGTTCTACGGCACTTGCAACACAATAATGTCATATAAGTGCCAAAGATTAGAGGTGTTACAAGAGAGTAACAAACACAAAAAAGAAGGAGGGGAGATAAAGACGATAGATGTTTGATAGGAAAGAAGAAGCAAATCACACCAGAGCACCCGCCAACCACCCTCAGAATCTTTGTAAAAAAAAATCTGAGTTTGGGGGAAAAAGGTAGTCTCCAGAACCCCAGTAGAATCAAATTATTTATGAACTGATCGCTGCAAATAAACGGAAACAAACGCAAGTAAAAATGGGTACTTTCACATCATTTATGACAAGTTGCGGACAACCCATGGAAACAGAATTCAAGAAAAAATTTTTAATTTTATGAAAATATAACAGATCTTCCAAAGGGGGAAAAATAAAAAATATCAGTGGGCTCCAATTTTATCAGAGTACTTGGCACTTATACAAAAACCAGTAAAACAAACACATGACACAACACTAACAAACACGTGACAACACACCACACATTACACCACACCACACCATTCTCCACTGCACCGCACCACACAACACCACACCACACCTCACAACACTACACAATGCTAGGCTACACCACATCATACGTCACGCCACGCCACAACACACTCCACACCACACCACACCACTACACCGCACAACACCACACCACACCACACTACACAATGCTACGCCACGCCAGGTCACAGCACAGCACAGACACAGCACAGCACGCCAGGCCACACCACAACACAGTACAGCACAGCACAGCACAGCACAGCACAGCACAGCAAAGCACACCACCATATCCCCCCACACCACACCACACCATAACACACCCCACCCCACCACACCACACGACACAACACACCACACAACACCAAACACCACACCACACCATAACACCCCCCCCCCCC